TTCTTAGTTGATGTTACTGGGTGTTTTTTATTATTAGTGTTTCCATGTTTTTTTAGTCTTTTTTTACATGTGGATGAGGCTTATTATACTAGTATTTTTTACGAGTATGCTGCGAATTGTGTTTCATTGGATTCCATGTGGGATTAAATGTGTTTTATTTATGAATTCACATATCGCTTAAGGAACTGTATTCCTGATCAAACCGAATTATATATATCACCGGTATTGGTAATGTTCAGTACACAAATATTGTATATATTTCTCATTTATAGCTCTGTGGCACGCTGCTTTGTGGGTGAAAGAAACCGTGTTCATCGTCTCCCCAATGGCAAATTAGCCCTTTCCATTAGCTCGTGATACAGTGTCTCTTATATTTATTTTTAGTTTGTCTTTCGCTCAGTTTTAAAATATGGCGGTGACATTTCCCGCCAAATAATCTTTATAGCCCTGTAAAACACTGTCATGCCATGTGTCATTTTCCTGTCTTTTGACACGCAATCAAATCGGCGAAGTTATCTTGTCCAATGAAGGTGACTGTTCTTTGGCAAGAAGCTAAAACAATCTCCGAGTGTTTTAAGTCGTCGGAACAAATCGGCAGTTATTGCTGTCAGATGAGGTGTTTGACGTGTGGCTGAGACCAATTTTTCACTGCAGTCTAGCTCGTTGCATGGTGAGAGAACAATACACGATGCTAATATCGGTCGCGCTGTAAATTACGTGGAATGACTTTATTTAGTTGTGTCACCGCTAATAAAACATTTGTCACAGGGTCGTTTATTTAATGGGACATATATAACTATGTCCTAGTGTAATTTCGAACATGAGAACAGGTCAATTGTTTAACATAAGCTTAACAAATACTTGCATTAGGCGCACAAATCAGGGCATACATTAGGAAGGTGGTGCTCATGTGACGGATCCCCAGTGCCGAAAGGAATAAGTCTAATGGTTTACAGTATTTACATTAGTCGGACTATTGTCCTCATCTTTGTCGCCATATTTGTCACAACGTTTCGGCCGTTGTACGCTCCGGCCTTCTTCAGGTGGTTGGAATTTCGAACTGAACCCTTTATTTCGATCACAGGGGTAGACTGTTCTAGTTCCACGTGATGGATGTCAGTTATCAGTTATCTCCTGCTAATTTTCCCTCTGAAAGTTCTCCACTGCCTTAACCAGGTATTGAACTCACCTTCTTTGTCACTGGATCTAACCAACGCCTTTATCAACTGTGCCATGTGTCCTTGAGGACATCTGGGTATGAACTTCTGAGTATTATAAACCTAATGTTTTCAGCATCATTTTTTACCAGTGCTCATATTGCAATTTTGCTGTTATCATTGCATGTCTTTACCAGAGTTCATATTGCAACTTTGTTATCATTGCTTTTCTCTGGCACTCCTTATTACTGGTTCCCATATTGTATTTATTTCTATGCTTGGTCGGCTCAGGAGATTTTTGTGGCCTAGCATGTATGCTGATTCCTTAAGTTTACGAATTTTCCAATAGTGTTCCCTGTCTATGATCTCAACATGATCCCACAGGGGTCGGTGATCTCCCTTCTCTCTCCATATGTGGTCAGCCACGCCTGATTTTTCTACTTCCCCTCGCGTTACAGCTTTCTGGTGTTCTTGAAATATAGACAGAGTCTAATGGTTTGTTCACAATATAGTGTTAAACAATTTTTCTCACCTGAATCTATCTTACATATTTACAAGTCTACCATTTATCCATGCTTTGAAAATTGCTGCCACCTATGGTCTGGTGCTCCTGCCATATATCTAGATTTCCTTGATAAAATCCAACGAAGAATCAGAAATATTACTGTTCACTTTCCCATAAGTTCTGTCCGAATTTTAACTTTTTGTTAAAATGAACGAAATTTAAAGAGTATTTTATAATGTCTAATGGAGCTGAACATTATTTTTATGTTTAGATGCATTTAAACTGATCAAATTTTATTTCAGAAAACAATAAAATTAAATTTTGTTTGATTAAAACCCTGAAATCATGGAAGTACCCAAGAATCATTTGAGGCACATAATGAGTTCAAGAAAGGAAACTCAGCAGCCGAAGCGGCTAGAAACATTCACTCAGTTTATGGAGAGGAATGTGTGAATGAAAGAACTTGCAGAAGATGGTTTGCAAAATTCAGAGGTGGAGATTTCACCCTTGAAGATG